CCCCCCCCCCCCCCTGTTGGCTTGGTAGGTTCGCATCTTCCTGTTCAGCTCGTTCGTGTTGTCTGCAACGGTAGGCCTTTTGGTTGCCGGCACCCGGACCATCGCTCTCACCCAGGGCATCGACCAGGGCCAAAGCATGACCGAGTGAGTGTGGTGTTCCGTAGAGAGCTGTTGTGTGTTTGTTTTTGTTGGTTGGCTTTTGAGGAAGAAGCGCTACAGAGACAAGGGGTTGGTGTAGCAGAGGAAGGCTTTCCCGCTGGCCCCGCCATCGGCATCGTCTGGTTTTGTCGTTCCATTCGTTGACCGTCGTCCGCATAGTTGTATTACCCTGCGGCCTTGTATTCTACCTGAAGAGCCCCGATGCGGTGTTGCACAGGAAGAAACCACTTCTTGGCGCCGTAAGTCTTATTTAGTGTTATTATCCGAGAGGGGGTCGCGTCAGCCGTCATTCTCAACCGTACTCACGCACAAGCGTTTTGCCCTAGGTCGCATGTGCGGAATACGGAATATTCTTTGGCATCAATTACATAAATTATTATTATTATAGTCGCTTGGGGCGTGAGGTTTCGCCATAACGCCGTCGTCAACCCAATGTTTTTCGTGCTCCAGGTTGCTGACGAACATCGTTGTTGACGTTACTGCGATGGCGGTATTTGTGGGTCTGGTGAAGCGAGACCTCGACGCGCAGGTAAACGGCTCGGGAGGACACATCAACGATTCTCGAGTCTAGCTATCGCCGAAACTCCGCTGTTTTGTCTTTTTTCTAAACCCCGCTTTTTTTTGGGATGGCCGACGAAAGTGCTATGCGTTGCTTTCCCAAGAGCACAGTGATGCTCGTTCCTCCACCTTGAAGGCACATTCGTGGAGTTCGAAAAAGAAATCGCACACCGTCCGGTTGTTGCATTCTAGGCTCGGTGATTTCCTCTTACCTGCGCGCAATCTGCTCTGTTTCGACGCTCCCGATGCTCCGTTCTTCCGTTTGGTTTTGTTGCGATGGGCAGGAGGGGCGCATGGCGAGGATGGAGATAGGCGCTAAGCTCGCAGGGCTGAAGGTTCGACTACAGGTGATACGACGTTCGTGTTGGAAACATCCTATTCCCATTCACGTTGCACGAGACGGAAAAGTTGCCCGAGGTATTGTGATTGGTTGGTCAAATCAGTTTTTTTAATTTGTCCCGAATGCGACGTCACTCCCTGGATGCCGTCACCAGTCGACCAGCAACTGGTCGATACGGAGGCGTCAGCGGCCTGCGCGTTTGCGAAACCGCTTGTCTGAGGTCCTCGATTTCGTGGTGTCATCATCGTTTTCGCATGAACAAATCTTGGAGAGGTTGTTGCCCGCCTGCTTTCACGATCTTCGCCCACTCGGCCACGCACTAACCGTGTTAATACAAATACATGCTTGTTGGCGAGAGAAAGACGGCTGGATTATTTGGTGTTGCTGGCCAGAAATGCCCTGTCTAGCGCATTAGCATGTAGCGCGATAGCAAAATGGTCCAGGACGTATCGTCAAGAACACCAACCAATCCCCTCAATAGTACCCGCGTTCCCCGCCCGACCATCGGAACGCCCAAAACCGATCCAGACGAAAGACGACCTGTCCACGGTCACACTGTCGGCGCTGAGGCGTGACCGCGGCAGGGACAAGCGAGTGGCCGTTCTCGTCGGCGGCGCCGAAACCGTCAAGTCATCCCTAGAGTCCGCCCTGCCGTATGGAAAGGCTCTCGAGACGAGCGATATCTTGATCGTGCCGCTGGTTCTGGAGTCGAGGTCCGGCACGACCGGTGGCGGGGCCGACATGTTCCGGGCGTCGGGGGCGGAGAGCGACCTCGAGTCGGCGGTGGGAAGCGCTCACGTCGCGTTGCCGGTGGCCCTTAACCGTTGGCAGGAGTACATCGACAGCGAGGTGGGTGCCGAGCGATTGGGAGCAGGGGGGCGGGGGAGAGCGTGTGGTGATGGGCTTTTTCCAATTCAAGCGTGGGAGTATCTACTGATTTCGTGCGGTTGGACGTACTTGCGGTGCGTCGTTCAGCAGGACCCTCTACTGCACGGTCGGGGCCCCGCTACCCCATCGGTTGTGCATCCCCAGGTTCTCGTCTATGAACTTTTCACTCGTTTCACTCCGGGGGGATTCATTGGAACCCACAGCATTGCAACAGAACCAGAGACGAGGTTACGAACGGACTCACGCATTTGTGTGAACCTAGTTTCCGAGTGTGTTACCCACCTCGGCAGCAAACTACGGCGAAACCGTTCACCTCTCACCACGCTTCCACACTCAAAATCTTGATTGCACACGCGAACGCGCAAATTGAATATTGCTGCGTGCGTGTTGTTGGACGGCACCGACGCAGGTGGAGACGGCCTTGTCTCAAGGGATCGATCCTCTCAAGGAGGGATTCTCGCTGGTCGTCAAGAAAAACGGCCGCATCGGAGCGCGATCCAAGGGCTGCCCTCCATGGGGCACCCTCGTGGGCGACGTGGTACGACGAAAAGAGGCCGGAATGGACACCACTAACATCTAAAGTCCAACCCGAAGCCCAGGAAACACGAGGGGCGGCGTTCTTGGTAGCTAAATTTAGCTCTGGAAGAAAGTTAGCCTAGACTCGACGTCGGACCTCGCAGCAGACATGTGCCTCGCCGGGGGGGAGGGTGGTTGGGAGGCTTGTACCGAAATCCAACACCGAGAGTTTGCCGCGGAAAAATGATATCGCGTGTTTCACCGTCAGGTGCCCGGGGGCGCTTGGGGAGCAGAGCGGGGGGCAGAGCTCGTAGGTCGCCGCGGCCTGAGCAGAGGATGGTTGGTGTGCAGGGGTCCACCGACGGCCTCTCTTGTGCATAGACAGGAGGACGGGGCTTGGGTAGTTGCGTTGTGTGATTGATGACGCCACCGCGCTATAACATCGTTATCGATTCGCGTATCATGCGTGGTGTCTTGGAGCTCATAGAGCGAGAGCAAAAAATTCAGTCTTGTGTGCATGCCCACACGTTCGTGCAGTAACCAGTCGTGCGATGTCTTGGCGTTGGACGTCCACTAGAGGCGGCACGTCTCTGAGCGATTGATTGTTTGAGGAACCTCCGATATGCAAGAAGGAAGCGGAGTCCAATGCGAGAGATCCCGGTGCCAACGCCTAGTGTACAAATAGCTCCTCCGTTCTCCAGTGTACGCGCGTCATGATGGCACACATGTTGTTGGCTTCCGCGACATCAAAACAAGCGTTTTGCTGCACTTCGCCCACACTAGTTGAACGACCCACGGTTCAAAACTGCATAGTAAGCGGTCGCGACGGCTTGGTTGATTGGTTGGTTTGTAACAATTTCAAAAATCGCATCGGGCTACACTGAGCCCGGGTACACTCGACGCCACACCGCCGACATCGAAAGTCCAAGACCCTATTGTGCATGCCTCGGGACGTCCGCCAGTGCGGGATACGCCTGATACAGACAGAAAACTCCAAAATTTCCACCCCTGGAAACGGGGTTCACACAAATTACCGTGTTCGGCGGCTCCCGCCATGCGACAGCCTGACGGCCAACAACCCTGACAACACCGCGCCAAACACGACTCCCCCAACAATACCGCGCAACGTTTGCGTCGCCCCGGCAGCATTTCCGATCCCTCCGTTTTCCGCGGGCAGGTTATCTGCGCCGAAAAGGCAGCTGTTGGTAGGGTTGGAAGGGACGTGGGTGGACGAACGGCGGTGGGTGAGCGTTTGTTGCGTGCGCGAGTTTCTCGCGTGTAAGTGAAGGGCGGGTGATATTTCCAAGACAGCTACTATTAATAGTCGAAAGCCATCGTGTCGGGGCTGGTTTACTCCGGGACGCTCAGCTCTGAGTGCTGCTTGCCCTCCACAAAACACCAGCGTCACCAGGAGCACAAGACCCGAGCGTTCCCATTCCGAGGGAAATTCAACCCCAAACACTCAACACCAACAAGCCACGCCAGCCCAACCCACAGGGGGCACAAATAAATCGCGCCAGCAGCATCCGCACTCAGCAGTACACACTCACGTCGACTCCACAGCATCCACCGCCACGCGCCCGTAGCCCGCGGCAAGCGCGGCGCGCTTCGCCCTGCCTGCGCCCTCCGCCAGCGACGGGTCTCGCAAAATCTTCAGCACGGCATCGTAAATGGCCGCGGGAGCGTACTCCGGGTCACCGCGACGCTGCCAAAACTTGAGGAAGTCGGTGGCTCTCCTGGAGAGGGGGCGCGGGCGGACCGCGAAGCCCGCCGCCTCCGCGATAGCCGCGTTGACCGGCTGGTCCGCGGACAGGGAGAAAGGGAGCGGCACGATGGGGACGGCGTTCACCGCACACTCGTAGAGCCCTCCCATCCCGCAGTGCGTCACCTGGAGACGGGGTGGAGAGGGGTTGGTTGGTTGTCCGGGACAGGGGGTGAGAAGTGTCGCTTGAAGGAGGCTCTGTAGCGCTTGATCGGGATGCACGAACCGCGGTCCTGACCCCTGGTATATATGCCTTGTTGTGAAACGTTCTCTCATCTAACGTTGGATCACGACAAGTCCGGTAAACTAACTCCGTCTGCTCCTATACGCAGAGATTAATCCTCACGAAAATACCCCCAAAACCTCGAAGCGGTAGTATTCGCCTCTCCGTTCATGGAATACGAGCACTGCCGCAAACGGTCCCAACAGTTTTTTTTTCGTTCACTTACCGCGACCTTGACGTGCGGGTGGGCGAGTGCGGCACCCTGCGGCAGCCACGGGCGAACGAAGAACCTCCCCGACGCGAGAGCGGCTGAGAAAACAAACAGCATCACGAACGGTTGTCAGCGCGTGGGATGATATCGGAACGGACTCAGGTAAGAGAAAACGGAAAGGACTCGGTGGCAAGCACATGGTGGACGAGTTCACTCCTTCCCTTCCTTCGTAAGTCTTGTAAGCAACTGAATAAACCAGGTCTTTCGTGTGTACACACGGACGCACCACGTGGATTGTACGAGATTCGTCCATCGTGACCCGTACGGATCTTATGCATCACCCCATCTCATCTTGCAAACCGCAGCGTCTACAGCACGCCTGTCCCTAAAACGGCGCGTGAAGATCCGTCTGGGATGCACCGAGAGTGTCCGTCTCTCGTAATATCCAACACTACAGCAGGACTGTCTTATCTGTCTGTGCAAATAATCGACCTCCTACAGTTAACTCACCAGGAGGAAGGTGTGAAGCATCGGCCTCCTTCAGCGACCATACCACAGCCCAACCTCCGGTCACCAGCCCTTCCGCCACGGTCCGCACGAGGGAAGGGGGGGGAGTAACGCGGCTACCGAACGTCACGTACACTACGGCGTCGTTGCTGTCGAGGAAAGTCTGTCCAGCGATTGCGGCACCACCAGTGGCAACAGGGCAACGGGAGCGGTGGGTGGGTGGGTGAGACAAGGCCCTCCTTCGAACTCGTGCGCGGGGTGAGACTAACGACAACACGCGGGTTGGTTCAGTTCGGGAAGGGGTTGCTTGAGAATGAAAGCATTAGCAAAACAAACCAACACCCTTCCTTTCACCGAGAAAAGTCAAACAGAGACAGGTCATTAGGGCACGGCGGAACCATCTCGACGCATTCACAACCGACGCTCCAGACCCCCAGACAGACACCCCCCGCGGCTTCCATTTTTCGACCCCCTCCCCCGTGCATCAAACCGTACCTTGAGCTCCGGGTGTTCCTCCAGGGCCTCCACCGTCTCCGGCAGGTGCCCGCGACCGATGACCTTAAGGCACGGTGGCAAGGCCCGCGGAGGCTCGATCCCGAAAGAGTTCACTAGCACCAGCCCCGCCGAGCCCTCTTCGACCCCCAAGCATTGTTGTCGGACGCGGTCCAGCATCGCCCTCGGCGGCCCTGGCGGTTTCAAGAAAGCGGGGGCCAGGCGGCTGGAGCGGAGGGCGCGGGCAGCGGCCCCGAGGACGCTCGAGAGAGAGCGTGCGGGCAGGAAGCCGCATTGCTCGAGCATGAAGAGCGGCCACGCGACGTGGCAGGCGTGTTTCACCCCGACGATCCTCGCCGCGTTCGCCCCCGCCCACGTCAGGTGGTCGCTGATCTGCCTCGAGGTGGTGGTGCGTGGCGGGAAGGAAACGAACGGAGGAGGTGAATTCCTGAAGCTTTTCACCTTACAATCAAGCACAGGAATCAACAGCTCACGCACTACGCGTTTTGATGCTGGGTGTACTGCGTGTTGTACTTGGAGAAGCTACCCGTGCAGCTGCCGACTATTTTTGGCTTGAGTTGGAAGATTGAAGATATGTGGTTTGCTCTCAGTGCATGCCTCGCGCCACCCCCAGCGAACCACACATCAACACAAGCCCCACTGCTTTTAAACGTTACATCCAACGACGTGGTTCTGCCGATCGATGATCGGCACACGTGCCACTTTTGGCATCATGCCTTACTAAAACTAAATATCGTTTGCCGGGACTGCTGTTGGCAAAAGAGTCTTACAATAACAATGAAAACATTGCACCAAAACTACGGTGGTATCTTTGGAGCATTTGTACCTCCAGTTTAATCCAAAGAGCGCCATGCGCTGCCCTAGCAAGACCGAAGCAGCATACAAAAGGAGTGGCATCTCCGTCTCTCGCCCATGGTTTGGTCTACGGGGGGAAGGGGTTGGAGCCTCGCCCTGCGTGGCGTACGTACTATCATGTCCGGTGCGCGAGGCATGCCCTTGACCAACGCCACCAAGGAAGGGGTCATTTTCTCCTCCGCGTACCAAACCGGGTGTTTCTTCACGTGCGGTTGCTGCCGTGTCCATCGGGTGGGATCAAGGGGGATAGAGCACAGCAGCAGGGAGGGATGTACGAAGAAAGGTCGGGTATACCGGTGAGGGCTGTGTGCAGTCTATGCATACAACATGGGAACGAATTGACATAGAAAAGCTGGTAGTGGCGAGGTGAACTAACTGCACGAACCATCATGCTGCATGCATACGACCCAAACAAATAATATCATACATAGCAATACTGCTGCCGAACCCTGTTGCCCGAGTCCGTTGACAGTCAAGTCGGTTGGAGGAGAAGCGACAAATGAGGACGAAAACAAAACTTCACTTCGCCATTTCCTTTCGATCCCGACAGCCCCTTCGGACGCAGAAACGCTACGCGACAAATGGAACACATGCGCAGCGACGAGGCGTGAACATGCAAAGTAGATACTACAGGTGCCATCTCGCTGGTTCTTGTGGTTTGACAGGCCGGCGACCACTCACAAGCTCTTATTCTTACCATTCCTAGCAGGAAGTGATCGCTCTCGGGTACAAGCTCATCTTGCAGTCCCAATACCGCCACGCGCGGGTCCCTGCACATCCCTTGAATGCGAGCTACCATGGGCTGCGATGTGACGAAGGTGACCTGTGTTGAAGCAACAAAACGATTTACGATCAACCGGGGACGGACGGGACGGGGCGGCATTGCTTGGATTTCTTTGTGTCTGTAATATATACTCGCAGCAGTCTCTAGACGTGAGGATCCTCGGGGATACGTGTTG